AAGCGGGAAAGAGACGGTGATAGTCAGCAGCCATAGAGAGAGAGAGAGAGAGATGGAGCAGCTTCGGCTAGAGCGATGGGGTTAATCCATTAAAGCTTGCGTCAACGCGTTTGCAATTTTTCTCGATCGATCTCTCATCGCCGGATAACGTTTCTTCCAACAACCAAATCTGAAGTCTTAATCGCTCGAACGCGCCCGACGTACGATAATGTGAAAGGTACCGCGATAAAATTCCAGTTTAGTAATGCAAAACCCGAGTCCGACTAATTTCAAATTCCTTCATTGCCGTGGACTTTCTTATTAAAACCGCAAGGAACAATGCAATCTGCATTCTGACCGTTGCGCGCAATAAAATTAATGCCCGTTGTAAACGACGTTTTACACATACTGAACATTCTTGATCAATTTTTATGGGACGCCGCGGTTGTAAAAATCATATTATACTGCTTATAGAGTTGGCTATATATTCCCGTGACGACTGTACCTCTTCCGTGGCCCAGGCCGGAGGCCCGGATGGTTCGAGTCGGACAGAGACGGAGATAGAGAATAAAGGGGAGGGAGGGAGGAAGTCACTGGCATGGGCCCTGTTGCGAACGCCGTGCCGGCGAGGGGGAGGAAGAGACCGGAGGGGGGTAGGGGCAGCCGAAGGGGGGAGAGAGAGGGTCCGAACGGACGGGAGACATTCCAATCTCTCGTGGCGAGCTTGCCTCTGCTTTGCTTTGCTTTGCTTCGCCTCGCTTTACTCGCTTGTCTGCTTTGCCCGCCAGCTTGCGCCGAGATACCGTCGTCCTCCTCGTCCACGTCGTCGCCATGGACGAAAGTAATAAAAATAAAACGAAAACCGACGATTCGGGAAACGTACAAATCAAATAACAGACGTTTTTCGCAATTTCCACGACGTTACTTCGACAGAGTATGATTGATCAATCATCGATATGCCCGATATTAATGTCGTTCTCGTTATCAGATACGAAATATTCGAAATAATTCGTATTAAAATTGTCTACCGTATCGTTTGCGTCACTACTCGCGGGAATATCTGACATACTATCGATACTTCCAAGGCGATCATTCTATACGACGAGCTTAACACTAGATTGCCCAAAGAAAGTAATTTTGACTGCTCTTGGGCAAATTTACAAATAATAATGCATAAATT